GTCCTCACCTGCCCGCCCTCACCTGCCGGCCCTCACCTGTCCCGCCCTCACCTGTCCCGTCCTCACCTGTCTCGCCCTCACCTGCCGGCCCTCACCTGTCCCGTCCTCGCCTGCCCTCACCTGCCGGCCCTCACCTGTCCCGTCCTCACCTGTTTCGCCCTCACCTGTCCTGTCCTCACCTGTCCCGTCCTCGCCTGTCCCGCCCTCACCTGCCCGCCCTCACCTTTCTTGCAGAAGAATGAGTACCTGTTCTCGGTGGTGGCGGAGGGGCCGGACGCGCTGCTGCTGGGCCTGCGCTACTCGCCCACCCGCGTGCACTTCCTGTTCCTCCGCGAGGACGCGGCGGGCGCCTGGCAGACCCGCGTGACCTTCCGCAGCCCGGCCCTGACGGACAGCCAGTGGCACACGCTGGTCTTGGCCGTGACCGAGGACTCTTTCTCCCTCACCATGGACTGCGGCGTCCCCGTGGACATGTAGGTATCAGGGCGCGGGGCGGGTCGCAGGGTGCTGCCAGCCCAGCGGTCCCGTGCGGCCGTCGGGGCGGCTCGCCTCGCGCAGTGGGGGCCACGGCGCGTCCGGCTTGTGCAGGAACCGTCCTTAAGAACATGCACCGGCGGGAGGCCCGGGTCATCGGCCTCCAGAAGGGCCACGGGGAGGCGGGTGGAGCGCAGGCGCCGGTCTGGGGGGCGGTGGGGGGTGAGGTGGGAGGAGCGGACACCTGGCCCAGGATTTGGGCTGCGTGGGTTGGGCTTGGCCAGGAGACGCGCCCTGCAGGGTGCTGTCACCATCACGGAAAGGCCGCGCGGGGACTTCACAACGAACTCAGGCCCTGGGGCCAAACGGAAGCTGCAGCCGGGCTTGAAGGGAAGGCCTTGCTGTGTGACTTTCACCGCATCGCTTAACCTCTCTGACTAAGTGTCCTCATCTGGGATGAGGGGCAAATATCCACTAAGACTCAGGGTACGTGCAGAGTAATCCTTAGTACCTTTGACACAACCCCGGGCCCTCAGAAGCCTGAGTTCGTTTCTTGTCCTTGTCACCTTGTCACCTCCTGGTTCCTATGGCCTGGAGTGGTGAGTCCCTGCTGCCCGGCCTGCTAACGACCCACACAGGCCCTCAGCTGCCATCCTTGGTGAGTGGGGCTGGAGATTTTTTGATCACAAGTGGTCCTGTTTACATTAAATCTATCATTATACCAAATATTGCTTACCCTGCTTTGTTGTTATGAAACTTATTCCGCAACAAAAAGAATTCGTAACATTTAAGCATGGTGTTTAAACACGGTTTTATCAACACCTCCCCCACCCTGCCCCCAGGCAGATCGGGGCCTTTACAGGACATGAGAGCCAGCAGTGGGACAGCTCTGTGCTGGGGAGCGTGCAGGGGCCAACCCAGGGCTGGGGGACGGGGCTGGAGTGATGGTGGCTTAGGAGGAAGTCAGGCCCCGGCTTCCCAGGCGTGGAGGGCACACGCCGGGGTGCAGGAGGCTTGGCAGCCACGTGGAGACGGGCGCTCAGGGACAGTGGTCAGGAGCCGGCCTCGCCACGGCCAGCTGCAGCCGGGTGGCAAAGACTGGAAGAAGCAGGTGCTTTCACCAGAGGATGTGGCGTCGTGGCCCAAGGGAGGCTGGGCAGCGAGGGGAACGCACGTGCCTGGCTTTTCTACACCAGAGGCTCCAACCATGCCTTCCCCTCCAGCAGGGCGCCCACCTTCTCACCTGTCCTCAGAGTTCGGCCCTCATGTGCACATCAAGACCCACCTCTGGCCACATCTTCCAACACCCCCGAGTCACCAGGGAGGCGGACCCCCTCCTGCCTGACACCATCTGTCCCACAGGGGCTCAGTGAAGGGTGGTGGGGCTGGGGACCCTGCGCAGGCAGAAGCCACTGGATGTTCCCATGAGGTGGCCAAGAGCCACGGAACACCTCCACAACAGGTGCTTTTGCAGAAGACCTTGTCCTGGGACATAGGGCGTGCCCCCAAATTCATGTCCCCTAGGACCTGGGAATGGGACCTTGTTGAGACAGCGCCTTTGCAGATGTGATCCAGTTACGTTGAGGTCACACTGGTGGTGTGGGCCCTGGTCCAGTGACTGGTGTCTTTCTAAGAAGAGAAGAGGAGACTCAGAGGAGAAGGCGTGTGGCCGTGGCGCCAGAGAGTGGAGCCATGCGGCCACAAGGCAGAGAACGCCAGAAGCCCCCAGGAGCAGGAAGGGGCAGGGGGGACCCTCCCCTAGAGCCTTCAGCAGGAGCACAGCTCTGCTGACACGTCGTTTGGGACTTCTGGCCCCTAGAACTGTGAGGGCGTGAATTTCTGTCATTTACGATGCCTAGCCCCAGGTTCTTCATTACACCCTCAGGGGGCGCTGCCCTGGCCTTTTCCGGTAAATGGCCTCCGCCAGCTGCTCTTTCGTGGCCCTAAAACCCTCCTCCATGGTTTTCAGCACTGCTGACGTGCGCTTCCCGGCCACCCTATCCATGCAAGGAGCCCGGTTCTTCATCGGCAGCCGCAGGAGGACCAAAGGCCTGTTCACGGTCAGTGTCGAGGGGCCGCCTGCCGGCCCTCCCCACACCAGGGCTGGCAGGGCGGCTGTCAAGTCTGCTGTCCCGATGCTCTGGCTCGACAGTTCGCTGTGTGTGGCAGGCGGGAATGGGGAACCCTCGGCACACACACGCCAGCCACACCCGACACCACGGCCCCTGCATCGCTGTTCCCTCCTCTGGGCACACAGGTCCCCACAGCTGCCATGGCCCATGGCCTACACCTTCAGGGCCTCACCCTGTGTCCTCTTACCTCAGAGGGAGGCCTTACCTCTCTGAGAAGATGACCCGCGCCCCGCCCTCCCGACACCTCCCCTGGCTGACGCTTCTCTATAGCCCTGACCACCCTCAGACCTCATGGCCTGTCTCTTCCCGAGAGTGCAGGTGAGGATACCTTGTTCCAAGAGGGCTTTTGCTCCCTGTGTGTCCAGAGTCTAGAACCGTGCCTGACACAGAGCAGTCCTCTGTGAATATATTATATACTGACGGTGTATGCTTGGATGGATGGATGGATGGATGGATGGATGAGTAGGTGGGTGGGTAGGTGGATGGATGGATG